TGAAAAAGCAAGAGTGGTGTGTTGTGTTGGGTTGTGGAGGGATGTTTTGTTTTGGTTTTGTGAGGTGGGGGGGGGGGGGGGGGGGGGGGCGTCAGGGGAAAGGGGGCTAGAAGGAGAACACTTCTGGACTGGAAACATTGGGTCGGAACGAAAGGCCTTGCTGAAAACGCCGTGGCACAAGCACTTGGAAGAGGGGTATCTCCGGTTCGACGTGCCGTAACAACAAAACGAGCACTGCAGGAAAAGCAAACCGGTTTGATTCTTGTGTTGGGTGTTGTCCCCCACCAATCGAGCGAGCCCTTGCGTCATCCTATTCGTGTGAGTGGTTCACGTTTTTTTTCGTTTTTTTTGTTGTACCATTGGAACAATCGACTTGGTGCACACAACATCAAAGAAACACTACCCGTTCCACACATTAACTCTTGATATTTGGGGACAGGCCAGACATCCTTAACACAACAACGTGGTCTTTGTGATTGCATATATATTTCTAGTAAAAAACACTGACCAACTAAAAGACCGATACGGGCCACAGCAGCAGCAGCAGCAACCCACCGTCTCACCTCAGCGTGGCGCCCGGTGTAGGTACACTCGTCCACATCCAGCACCTCCACCTTCCTGATCTTGGAGATGGTGCCGTCCCCCTCCAGCAGACGGTTCTCGAGAACGTACCTCACGGTAAACTCGCCCGTCTTCTTCAGGTAGGCGCCTGTCGTCGCGTAATGTTACGGCAAAAAAAAAACACAAATTAGGCGGGAGGAGGAGGAGGAGGGGTGAGTGCCTGAAAGCCGTTCGTTTCCTTGTGGTCGAGGGTTGTTGTACGAGAAGTCCACCGGTCCGCGAAACTCTTCAGCATCTCGGGCCCCCCGCCTGTTCTCCCCAACAACCGTTGCTCCTCATCCGCGTGATCCTTGCCTTCTCCTACATTCCATCTCCCAACTTGACCCCCTTGTACATTCTTATCTTTGGTGCGCGCGTCTGGGCGCAGCGCCCGGGTTCGATCTTGCGGCCAGCGTCGCCTCTACAAACCTCGCTGACGCTCAACTAGGCCCCGCACAGATGTGCTTTCCAAGTCTCTCGACAACTCTCCGCAACATCAAGCAGCACCACACCAGAACTCTTGCCTGGCTGGTGGAAACTCGTGTCCAACTTGTCCGTCCGCCTTGCAAGCTGGCCCGGGGGGGGGGGGGGGGGGGGGAAATCCAAAACCCCCCCCAATGGCCCTCCCCAAATTTCCGGCCCCAAACCTCAAAACAAATAAATCTGGGGGGACCCCAACAAAACCGGGGGGGGAAAATTTCGGGCCCAATTTTCCCCCCCCCTTTGAAACTGGGCGGGGAGGGGGGATCCAAAACCCCCCCCTAAATCCCAAACATTTTGGTCGCGAATCTCGAAACAAACAAATTTTTGCCTACCCCAAAAAAATATAAAAAAACTAAAAAAAAATGAAAAAAAAAACCCCTTTTTGGTTGTTTTGGGCCCCCCCCCCCTGCCCGGGGAAGGGGGGCCCGGCCCCCCTTTTTTTGTATTTTGCCCCCCCCCAACTTGGGCGGCCCCTGGTGTTTCTTTCCAAGTCCTGGAGCTCCCCCAAGCTAACCCAAGTGGTAAACCCCTTTCCGCTCTTTTTTCAAAAAAAAGAAAACCAAAGGGGGGTTTGACCCTCCCGGGGGAGGGGAAAAACGTTTCCCCAATTTGGGC